TTTGCGACAAATTGACCGCAACATAAAAAAATCAGTTTTAATTTTCTTTGGGATTTTATTATGATTCAGAATCTGGGAATTGGAATTAAACCAAAAAAAGGGCTAAAATTAAAAACCAAGTTAAACACAAAAACTTCTAAAACTAAAGCACGATGCGGAGAATGATTAAAATAAGCTCTTTCTCACGAATGCTCACGACGAGAATGATAATGATAAAATTACAATGAATGAACAAGCACTTGCAATCTCAAGTCGTTTTTTAAAGAATATATTTAAGGACCAATCCAGGGCCCTTTTATTAAGAATATTTTTAAGGGCCAATCTAAGCTGCGTTTTTAATTATTAGAGGAATGCATTTTTTACTAACATTTTATAGAGACTATTCGAAGACGAAAATTCTTAAAAATATATTTCAAGGACTATTTGATTTCTCTATTAATAGCTTTCCATCTTATTCGTGTCCTTCCCCTTCGGCGTAAACCATCAGTTTGTTCGCTTTTATATGCCTTCTGGGTTGGGATATCTTCATCCATTCTCACAACATGACCTAGCCAACGTAGTCGCTGCAGCTGAATACGTCTAACAATGTCGAGGTCCGAGAATAGCTGGTACAACTCATGGTTCATTCGTCGCCGATATTCACCGTCAACGCAGATCGGCCCATAGATCTTTCGGAGAATTTTTATCTCAAACACTCCAAAAGCTACCTCATCTGCTTGCGCAAGTACCCATGCTTCAGATCTATATAACAGCACGGGTAGTATCAGCATCTTGTAGAGTGTGCGTTTAGTCTGGCGGGAGGTGGCCTTGCTTTTGAGTTGTTTGTAGGCCATCACTATCCTTCTCCGAATTTCAGAACTGATGTCATTCGTTTTGTTTATAAAATCTTTGACTACCTCGAAGCTGTAGTTTTCAAATTCCATAGTTGGCCCGAGTCTACTGGACGTCTTGCGCGTTGATACCATCAGCTAGGTCTTCTCGCCGTACCGCTCTGAGTGTTCGACCCATTATATCGATGTCATCGGCGTTGGCGAGTAACATGTGTTGTTTGGTATACAGAGTGCCATTTCTGTTCACTTTTGCCTCTCGTATGACCTTTTCCAGCAGGATGTTAAAAAGGTCACACGACAAATTGTCACCTTGTCTGAATCCTCGTTCGGTATTGAAGGACTCCGAGAGGTCCTTTTCGACTTTAACTGCTGATCTTATGCCAGTTAAAGTAATCCTGCAATCCTGCCGTATTAATTTTGCAGGAATGCCAAACGCAGACATGGCTGTATACACCTCTGAACAGATAGGGCTGTCGAATGCGGCTTTATAGTCGACGAATAGGTGGAATGTGTCGATGTGTTTTTCATGATGGGTTTTTTTTCCAGGATTTGGCGAAGAGTGAAAATCTGGTCAATGGTGGATTGGCCAGGTCTGAAGCCGCATTGGTATGGTCCGATGATGTCATTGACCATTGGCCTCAATCGTTCACACAGCACACTGGATAGCACTTTATATGCGATGGGAAGGAGACTTATTCCTCTATAGTTGGCACATATCGTTTTGTCTCCTTTTTTGTGCGCGGTGCAAAGGATGCTGAGGTTCCAATCAATGGGCATGCATTCTTCTAGCCAAATTATACTAATCAGCTGGTGCATGCTCCTTAGCAGCATCTGACCACCAGTCTTGAATAGTTCGGGTTGTAACCCATCGGCACCTGCTGTTTTTTTATTCTTCAGCCGATTGATTGCTATTCTGACTTCATCTTAGCTAGGTGGTATACACTCTATACCGTCATCTATTATTGATTCTGTGGTATCCTCTTCACCGCTACTATTTGATACCAGAAGTTATTCAAAATGCTCCTTCCAGATTCTCAGCACGCTGTCTGTATCTGTCAACAGGTTTCCTTCTTCATCTCTTCCGGAGGATGTGTCTGCACTAAAGCCTTCGGTTTGGTCTTTTACCCGTTGGTAGAATTTTCAGACTTCATTCTGACTCATGTACATCTCGATTTGCTCACGCTCACGTTTTTCTTGTTATTTCTTCTTTTTTTCTGAAAATACGTTTATCCTTCACTCTCCTTTTCTCCCGATAGTTCTCCATCGCATTACGTGTTACTACTGTCCACAGGGTTGCCCTATACGCTGCGTGTTGCATATCAGTAGCATTACGACACTCCAGATCGTATCACGGATTTCTTTATGATCCAATTTGAAAGAAATTTGTCACATGTCACTTATTTGGCCCAAGGACGAACGCTATTGAAATTGGCGAAAATTGGTTCAGATTCAGAACCAAACCCATATGTAGTTTCGTCCGATTGTATTTAAATGGAGCACAATACTTTTCCGATTGAGACACAATTTTGCAGAGAGTGCCGACATCGGTTCAGATTAATGTATGCGAAGTTTTGTTGAAATCGGTTCAGATATAGATATAGCTCACATATATAGTTTCGGCCGATTTTATGTAAAGCACGAAAGAGTTAAATTTAGGCCGACTGGCAAAAAATTTTGCCCAGCGTACTGAATTACGTCCAAATTTATGTATGTAAACATCAGTTAGAATCGGTTCAGATTTAGATATAGCTCCCATCTATAGTTTCCTCCGATTTTACGCAAATGGTGCACCATACTGTCAATGTATGTCCGATTTAAACAAAATTTTGCTCAGCGTCCTGAAAGTACTGGTTTAGCTCCCATCTTTAGTTTCCTCCGATTTTACGTAAATGGTGTACCATACTGTCAATGAATGTCCGGATTAAACAAAATTTTGTTCATCAAAGTACTGGTTGACGTCCACGAAATTTTGTTGAAATCGGTTCAGAATTATTAGAATTACTGAATTAGTTTCAGATTGATGTATGCGAAGTTTTGTTGAAATCGGTTCAGATTCAGATATAGCTCCCATATATATCTTCGTCCGATTTTATGTAAATGGCGCACCGAGAAGTCTATATTTGTTCTATATTCTATATTTGTTCTAAGTTTTAAATCGGTTCAGATTTAAATATATAACTCACATATCTTCTTTAGTCCCATTTTATTTAAATGGGCACTATAAATCATATTATATTTGCACGATATTTTTTCGTCGTTGAAATCGGTTCAGATGTAGATATTGCTTCCGCATATATTTTTGTCCGATTTTATGCAAATTGAGGAGTTCGATATTATTCGAATGGTCCTACAAAGATGCTATGTCTATTCTATCGAAAAGACATTGCGCATATGATCATCTCTTGTATGTACCCAAAGTGGTGAAAGATACTATATAGTCGGCCTCGTTCGACATTTGAACTTTTCTTACTGATTAATTATTTAAGTTATGTTGTAAATTATGTCTCTCTAATGAATAATTTATATAATTCTGTTATTTAACTTTTAAAATAAATGTATAAATATTTAAGAAGATTATTGACACACAAAACAAGGAAAAAGTTTTTTTTTATTTTCAACTAAAGCCCCTTTTGGTATTCCCAAAAAAGTTACATTATAACTTTATCTACCGAGTTAGGTCATTGTCTAAATACAAAGGCAACAATATACTGGTATCACTAAACAACAGCCAGAGAAACAACACAAATTGAAATAAATAATTTATTAAGTCGAATTACATTCTGTTTTGTGTGCTATATTTACCCAGTGAAGGAATTATGTATGGCGGAAAAAATAGAGGAACAAGAAATACACAATTTACCTTTTTTTAGATATCCCTTTCCAATAAAAACCAGTAAGGAAAGTAGTAAAGTTGGACTGGGCCGACTATATGATACCCTTCACCACTTTGATACATATGTATCCTTACAATTACATGTCAATGTTCTTTCGAAGGAAAATACTAATGTCTTTCTGCCACCTATGTCGGTTACGTACCATGGGACAAATTTATGGAAAACTATTTATAGCAAAATTTATATACACTATTCGGTACGCTGCTCTGTGAAACTCAATTCTAGACTTAATTGAGTACGCTATGCCAAATTTCCGTCCAATTCGAAAGACTTTGGTGAACCATTTGCATAAAATCGGACGAAAGTATATATGGGAGCTATATCGGAAACTAAACGGATTTTCCCGAAACTTACTACCCATCATTTTAGAATCCATTCATTACGATATGCACAAATTTCGTACACATCGAAGGATATATAGGGACTTTGGTGCACTATTTACATAAAATCGACGAAAATATATATGGGAGCTATATATAAATCTGAACCGATTTCCACGAAACTTAGCACACACATACACTACGCTATGCCAAATTTCGTGCAAATCGAATGATATATACGGACTTTGGTGCACCATTTACATAAAATCGGACGAAACTATATATGGGAGCCATATGTAAATCTGGACAGATTTTCAAGAAACTTGACAGACATCATTCTATCCTCAATTCAGTACGCTATGTCAAATTTCGTGCAAATAGAAAGATAAATAGGGACTTTGGTGCACCATATGTATAAAATCGGACGAAAATATATATGGGAGCTATATCTAAATCTGAACCGATTTCCACGAAACTTAGCACACATCATTCTGGACCTAATTCATTACGCTATGCCAAATATATGGGAACTATATATGGGAACTATATATGGGAACTATATATAAATCTGAACCGATTTTCTTCAATTTCAATAGGGTTCGTCCTTGGGCCAAATAAGTGAGCTGTGCCAAATTTCACCCAAATCGGATCATAAATGCGACCTGTACTTTGTTTATAATTTAACATCTACAGACCGATAGATGGACGGACGGGCATACATAAATCGACTCAGAAAGTGATTCTATGCATATTCTCAAAAGGAACCATGTGTCTGTCTCGTTTCCCTTTGCCTGTTACAAACCTATGTACAAAGACATAATACCCTGTACCACAGTGTGGTGAAGGGTGTTTCATACTTTTTGCAAGGACTTAAGAGTATTAGCATTTGTTCTGTGTGTGTGTTTGTGTGTAATATTATTTGCTGGTATTTTTGTTATTTTGCATACTACGTTGAGTATTGTCATTGCCGTTATAATTTGTTATTTATTTACTCGTAATTCATTCGTCTCTTTTCTCTTTTTTTTTTTGTTTTCCCTTTGCAGTGACATTTCCTTCATATTGCCATGGTGGCGCCAAGTCCTGTGGAGTATCCTTTACGGTGTTATGGTCATTGTGGCGACCGGTGGCAACTTAATTGTTGTATGGATTGTCATAACAACAAAACGGATGAGAACTGTCACAAATTACTTTATAGGTAAGTTATTGGAATGTGTGTTGAGGTATTTTAACATCTAGTTTAGTTTCAATTTTATCTGCAACTGACAAATAATTTAAATAACTCATGACATTCGTTTCCAATTGGCTTAACAATATGTAGAATTTTGTTTTTCTTAAATGTAACTTAAAATGGCACCCCATTATCCTTCAAACTTAAAGGACACATACATAAAGTTCTTATTTCCAATATCATCCTTCATCAACTTTGGAAGCAAAACAAAAATAATAAGAATCTGTTTTTATTTTTGGTTCGTTTTTTTTTTTTTTTTTTTTGGAAAACTAAGTCTTTGTGGAAGAGGAAGAAATACGTAATTCATGACAACAACCACCTGTCAAGGAAATGCAAATAAAATCAGTAGCTCCCATATTGAAGTAAGAATATGCTATGCAAATACTAAGAAGCTTAGGGAACTCCATTATGTTTGGCAGAATCTTATTTTAGAATAAAGTCAATCGATTTAATATTCCACAAGGAAACCTTTTTGATAAACTCATTTTTATTGACTTTTGCAAAGAGCGTAAATTTGTAAAACTAGGAGAATATACCAAAAAGCTCAACTTTTTAATATTTTTAAACGGACTTAATAAAGAACATATATTTTTTAAATATCTTTCGAATCCTCAAGAAAGGACGTAAATTAGTTTGTTTCAGGAATTGGCTGTAAGCTTAGAATTAAAAAAGACTCGAAGCAAAGAGCATGATTTTGTAAAGCGATTTTCGAGAGCATGCCATAGATCATCGATTTTTTACCAAAAAGCATATACTTTTAAATATTTTTCTGTGGACTTACATAAAACATTTTTTAGGGACTTAAGAAAAAGTGATGATTCTTAAAAATATTTTTTGGAGATTTGGGAATTATCAAAGAGCGTATATTTATATCCTTCACCACACTGTGGTACAGGGTATTACGTCTTTGTGCATATGTTTGTAACAGGCAAAAATAATCGAGATAGGCCCATGGTTCCTTTTGAGAATATGCATAGAATCGCTTTCTAAATCGATTTATGCATGTGCATGTTAAATTGTAAACAAAGTAAAGGTCGCATTTATGATTCCAATTTGATGAAATTTGGCAGAGCTCATTTGTTTGGCCCAAGGACGAACCCTTTTGAAATTGGGAAAAATCGGTACAGATGTAGATATAGCTCCCATATATATTTTCGCCCGATTTAAGGTATATGGTGAACCATACTCTCTATATATCTTTCGATTTGCACGAAATTTGGCACAACGTAATGAATTAGGTCTAGAATGATTTGGGTTACGTTTCGTGAAAATCGGTTCAGATTTAGGTATAGCTTACTTACTTACTTAGCTGGCTTGTTACAGAACGGTTGTTCCATAAGCCGAGCTTAAAAAAGATTTCCAAGCGCGCAAATCCACCAATTTGGAAGACCAAGTTCCAAGATATTGTTTTCTACTTGGTCTTTCCATCTAATTCGTGGCCTTCCCCTTCTACGGGAACCATCAGTAGGCTCATTTTTATATGCCTTTTGAGCTGGGGCATTTTCATTCATCCGCACAACATGGCCTAGCCACCGTAGTCGCTGCAGCTCAATATGACTGGCTATGTCGATGTCCGCGTATAAATTGTAAAGCTCATGGTTCATTCGACGCCGATATTCACCGTCGACGCAGATCGGCCCGTAGATCTTTCGGAGAATTTTTCTTTCAAACACCCCAAGAGCTGCCTCATCTGCTTGCGCAAGTACCCATGCTTCTGATCCATATAATAGCATAGTATAGTATCAGCGTCTTGTAAAGTGTGTGTTTGGTCTGGCGGGAGGTGGCCTTGTTTCTAAACTGCTTACTTAGACCATAGTAGCATCTGTTGGCCATCACAATCCTTCTCCGAATTTCAAAAATGATGTCATTCGTTTTATTTATGGCGGTACCAAGGTATATAAAGTCTTTAACTACCTCGAAGCTGTAGTTCTCACGTCTTGCGCGTTGATACCATCAGCTTAGTTTTCTCGCCGTTTACTACCAGACCCACTTTGGCAGACTCCCTCTCAATTTGTTCAAAGTTGGCTGTTACCGCTCGCAATGTTCGACCCATTATATCGATGTCATCGGCGTAGGCGAGTAACTGGTGTTGTTTGGTGTACAGAGTGCCATTTCTGTTCACCTTTGCGTCTCGTATGACCTTCTCCAGCAGGATGTTAAAAAGATCGGTATTGAAGGGCTTTGACAGGTCCTTTCCTACTTTAACTGCTGACCTTGTGCCTCTTAAAGTTATCCTGCATAGCCGTATTAATTTTGCAGGAATGCCGAACGTAGACATGGCTTTAAACACCTCTGAACGGATAGGGCTGTCGAATGCGGCTTTATAGTCGACGAATATGGGACATGCGTCGAAGTGTTTTCGTGGGTTTTTCCAGAATTTGGCGCAGAGTGAAAATCTGGTCAATGGTGGATTTGCCAAGTCTGAAGCCGCATTGGTATGGTCCAATGATGTCATTGACCATTGGCTTCAATCGTTCACACAGCACACTGGATAGCACTTTATATGTGACGGGAAGGAGACTTATTCCTCTATAGTTGACACATATCTTATCTTGTCTCCTTTTTTTGTGAAAGGGACACAGGATGCTGACGTTCCAATCATTGGGCATGCATTCATCTAGCCAAATTGGCTAGGTGGTATACACTCTATACCATCATCTCTTATTAGTTCTGGGGTATCTTCTTCAACGCCACTATTTGATACTAGAAGCTTTTATTCTCTTGCTAACCATAAATCCGCAGCCAAATTCATTTCTCGTTTCATGGCAGCTATAATACAGGGCGTAATCGTCTGATTTACTTCGTGTCCACAATTGAGATGAAAGAGGGACCAAGATAAGCCTGGACTTTGCCATGTTAAAGCCAATCAGAGCCGTTACTTGGTATCTATCATCCCCTACGCCACCCTTTAGATATAACACCCATATATATTTTCGTCCGATTTGAGGTAAATTGTGTACCAAAGTCCCTGTATATCCTTCGATTTCCACGAAATTTGACATAGCTTATTGAATTAAGGGGACCCCCCCATTCTCGGTGTCAAAATTTTTTTTATCTAATTCGAATCTACTATAATTCTAGAATGTTCCTACAAAATTTCAAGTGAAAATCTCAAGAACTCTTGAAGATATAGCCGATTTATTGTGTCAGCATCTAGTGACGGCAAGAGTGATTCTCAAACTTTAAACGCATTTTTCTCAAAACGAATGGCGGGCACGATAACTCAAAAACTAATAATCCAATCGGTTTCAAATTTTTACACGTTTCTCTGGGAGTGTGTAGCTCTCGTATGAACTAGGATAAAGCCAATCGGTGAAGATCTTCCTTATTTTTAACTTAGTTTGTGGTAAAAAATAGGCGATTTTCCAAAAAAAAATTTTTCAAAGTTCCGCCATTTTGTTAATTTTTGTGCGAAGTCAATAATCCTAGTTCATACGAGAGCCAGACATGTCCTCTTTCTAACACCGTTGGAATTTTCGGATTCCGATGTTCCAGTGAGGAGTTATCATGCCCGCCATCGAAAATATGGACTTCTCTTTGAACCCAAAAAACAACAACAAAACAACAACAACAAATGTTGGTAAATTATTTTTCTTCCTTTTTAAATCTTCAAATATATATGTGCCAAGTTACAAACCTTAACTAGCATTGGTATTCATTTACCAGCCCATTGAAAATCTTAAAAAAATAAAATCTAGAATGGGGGGGGGTTCCCTTAAGTCTAGAAAAATGTGTGTTAAATCTCGTGAAAATCGGTTCAGATTTAGATTTATAGTTTCCATATAAATTTTCGTTCGATTTTAAGTAAATGGTACACCAAGGTCCATACATAGTCTTGGATTTGTGTCTAGAATGATGTGTGGTAGGTTTCGGAAAAATCCGTTCAGATTTCTATATAGCCCTTATCTATGATACGCCCATATTCTTGTCTATAATGACTCCTCCTACCTCGTATTTTGAGAGTCCCTCCAGTTCGTCTACAGAAGACTCCATGTCTATAAATGGTCCAAAAAAAACTAGATTCTCAAAGAGTACTGTAAGCTCGTCTATAAAAACTCCCTTTAGATCGGTTAAAAATACTCACTTTAAATATAGAATACTCCATTCCTCTATGTAGACTCCCTTCAGTTAAATTATAAAGATTCATCTATAAAACACTCCCCCTTCATCCGATCGTCTATAGACACTTATTTTAGCTCGTCTATTGAAGACATCATTTTCATCTCGTGTATAGAGACTCCCTTCAGTCCCCTCAATTTATCTATAGGGATTATTTTCAGTTCCTTTGCGACTTCTTGCAGTCAGCTATTCTACAAAGTACCTCTTTCTCCTACTTCGCAATACACGCCTTTATTACAATTATTTTTTCCATGAAAGGATATTTTTCCAAATTCGTCTGCCGCATCAAAGACACAAACAGATAAGGATTTCATTACATTTGTTTTTTGTTTTCTTTTATTCTTCGCATTATTTGTTTGCATTTCTATGCATAGTCGTATTATTTATTTACACCCTGTCGTTACACTTGATGATGAAATGTCATCAGAATTCACTGTTCCACAAATGTGACTCGCTGGTTGTGGTGTGTTTTTATGATTTTACTTTTGGCTATGAATTCTACTTTGGCAAAATTCTAATTGAACTTCAAGTTGTTTACATTGGTGTGGTTTTTTATTTTTGTTTACAAAATCATTTTGGATTTCGTATTCAATATTTGTCTGAGTTGCGCAGATGTGGGTGTTAGTGTGAATGAACAGCATTTTGAATTCCATTTAAATAAGTCTATTTGTGGATGATGGTATGAATGTGTGTATCATTTTTATGAAATTGATAATTCCAATGAAATTTCTATTGTCGATTGCGATTTGTAATTAGAAATCTATAATTAGTGGAAAATAAAAAATATTGCGTCACATGGCGCTGTAATTTCGAAATGAAATAGAAAATATGAAATCAAATTATTCGAC